TCATCTCTTGGGCTCTGTTTATGACTGTCTTGCACCTGGAACAGAGCACCTTGCTGATTGTTGTAGTACTTTTCCATTTAGTATCTATGAGCTGCCTTCCCTGTGGTTTTAAACAATAGTATTCCAGGGACATCTGTTTGCGCGCTCAGTTTCTCTGTGTTTTTTCAATCGCATGCGTTGCAGCTGCATAGCCTTGGTGCATTGGGGTTATCACAGAGCACAACAGTGTAAAAGTGTGTCTAATCCCTAACTCTTGCTTGCAACCAGGTGAAATTGGCAAACTGTCCTGCAGACATTTACAGTAAAGTCCTATGCTTGACAAGCAAGTACGCTTTTAAAGGCTCTCATTAGTCATTTTATTTTGAAGTTGTTTAAAAAAGTTCATTGTAATTATATAAATAAATAAAACATTTAAAGGAAACTGTATTTATTTATATTTTTGTTTTTAAAGAAGCAGCCATGCTTTCCTTATTTAAATGATGTAAGTGATGGCTTATTGCAGTTTATTGTAGAAAGGGTTCATGTTCTGGCACAGGTTTTTGATCACTTGAAGTAAATGGAAGAGAACTGAACATTTTCTTGGTTTACTTTATACTGAATGGCAGGATAGTATTATTTAATATTCCTTTGGTTCATACCTTAGTAAATACGGTGAAGCAACATATGCATTATGATGACTTCACATATTTTTTATTTGGATGATAGCACTTCTTTTTAAAGATATAAAATAAAACTGGCTTTTAGGCACTGAGTAACTGGATTTAATTTCAAGTATATATTCAACTATATGTATATCTGTATAAATGGTATATATTCTTTCCATGGTTGTGTGGGTTGATTATTGGTAATTTAACTGGCTTCCACCCAAACTGGCGTTACACTGTGTGTGTGTTTACATTCCTGTAGAGACCAGGGCTGCTGAAGGTTCTTTATACAGAGATACAGAAATAGCGGAAAATGAAGTGTGAAGTTACCCCACATTTATGAAAGCTGCTAGTAGTAGACCTCTAGTATTTATCTTATATTATTTCTTGCACTCATAGTTTTCAGTTAAGTGCTTACTTGTTATGAGTATTATCACTGTATAGTTGTACTGTGCTCTTTTTTTTCCCCTAAAGTGATAACAAGAAACTCCATCATACATGGGACTTTAAAGATGCACGATAATGTATTACTTATACACCACTGTTAAAATGTCATCAAGTTATTCGTAATAATTCATAAAAATGTAGCATGACTTAGGCCAACATGGCTTCCTTTATATATTCAAAAATACACTATATTGCCAAAAGTATTGGGCCGCCTGCATTTACACGCATATGAACTTCAATGGCATCTCAGTCCATAGGGTTCAATATTGAGTTGGCCCACCGTTTGCAGCTATAACAGCTTCAACTCTTCTGGGAAGGCTGTCCACCAGGTTTAGGAGTGTGTCTATGGGAATGTTTGACCATTCTTCCAGAAAGCGCATTTGTCAGGTCAGGCACCGATGTCCGACAAGAAGGCTTGGCTCGCAGTCTCCGCTCTAATTCATCCCAAAGATGTTTTTTCAGGTTGAGGTCAGGACTCTGTGCAGGCCAGTCAAGTTCCTCCACCCAAACTCGCTCATCCATGTCTTTATGGACCTTGCTTTGAACTGGTCCGCAGTCATGTTGGAACAGGAAGGGGCCATCCCCAAACTCTTCCCACAAAGTCGAAAGCATGAATGAGGCCAAGCCCAACCCCTGAAAAACAACCCTACAGTGCCCCCCCTCCACCAAACTTTACACCAAACTGCACAATGCAGTCAAGCAAGTATTGTTCTCCTGGCAACCTCCAAACCCAGACACGTCCATTGGATTGCCACACAGAGAAGCATGATTGGTCACTCCAGAGAACACGTCTCCACTGCTCTAGAGTCCAGTGGCGGTGTGCTTTACAACACTGCATTCGTACTTGGTGATATAAGGCTTGGATGCAGCTGCTCAGCCATGGAAACCCATTCCATTAAGCTCTCTACGCATTGTTGTTGTGCTAATCTGAAGGCCACATGAAGTTTGCAGGTCTTTAGCTATTGACTCTGCAGACAGTTGGTGACTTCTGCGCACTGTGTGCTTTAGCATGCGCTGACCTCGCTCTGTCATTTTATGTGGCCTACCATTTGGTGGCTGAGTTGCTGTTGTTCCCAGCTGCTTCAACTTTGGTATAATACCACTAACAGTTGACATGGAATATTTATAGCAAGGAAATTTCACGGATGCACAGGTGGCAACCTATAACGGTACCACACTTGAATTCACTGAGCTCCTGACAGCGACCCATTCTTTCGCAAATGTTTGTAGAAGCAGTCTGCATGCCTAGGGGCTTGATTTTATACACCTCTGGCTATGGAGGTGATTGGAACAACTGAAGCCAATGATTTGGATAGTTGGCCCAAAACTTTTGGCAATATAGTGTATATTACATAAAAGTTTTGCAAATTTGTTTCACAGCTTGTTGTTGAGCTTCCAACCCTATTATATACCATTTATCTCTCCTTTTCAAATTAGATATTTAGTTCTGAATGGCACTGGCAGGGGAGATTTCAATGTTTTTAATACCACTTTGTTTCATGTATCCCAAATATTCCACTTCTTTAGGTTTTGTGTAACTTTGTTGCTTTATCACAAATACAGAGATTAGGATCTTGGGGACCACCAACTACACCAAACCTCCCTCTGAAAGGAGAGCCAAATAATCATACTCAAAAGGGCCTGGGTGGTATCCCCATTAAATGAGGGGAGGCAGGAAATGTATTACATACCCTGCTCACCCATCCTTTGTACTGCAGTTAGCTGAAATAAATTTGCATTTAATTCTACTTCTGTGTCTTATTAATGCTCTTTAAAAAATACAAGGTGTTTCAATGGAACCATGACATTTGCTTTAGATGTTGCACATCCACAGAGCACTTCATCAGAGACTACAGCTAAGTGCTCAGAATGCAACAGTGACAGACATATATCTGTGCCTTACACAGAGATCCCTTTAAACAAGACTCTACATTCAAAGAAGATCTTACACCTGTGTCAGAGCAATGAGCAGTCACCTCCAACGATCATATAGTGAGCTATGTCATGAAAGATTTTCAGAGAAAACTAGTGCTAAAATATGTCTGGTGAAAGTTTCCTCGACCGTACGCAACTTTAGCAATCATTCATTGACATGTTCAGTGTAAGGGGAAGAATACTGGCCTACACCCTGCACACATGCTGGCACAGTAGAAACCACAGGAGCAATTGCTCCCTTCTGAGTGCAGTCAAATACCTAATGACAGATGAAATCCCTACATTAAAAGATGCATGTTATATATATAATTTTAATCCTACATATCACCCTTATAAGATAACTGCAAGTCATACTTCTACTATGAAGAGACATTCCAAAGGTCCACAAGCTACAAGAACAGTGCAAAGGTGATCTTCATAATGACCTTTATGCCAAATGACCAAACTGCCCTGGGGGTCAATATAGGTGCCTGCTCCAGACAGAAACAGAATTTACTCAGTGTGCATAAAGCTATTGTTCAGAGATTCCAAGACATTCCCTTCATCTCTCAAAGCCTGTTTACGGGTGCTCAAGAAATTCATCCTTCTATCCAAGTCTTCAAACAAGAACATTCTCCACTTTACGGGTTGAAAACACAGTCTTTTGAGTACAGAATCATCTGGAGTTCCTTAGAATCAGCAAGAGAGACTTCTGCACGTCTATATCTAAGTGGTCATTCATGCTTTGCCAGCTGTGGAAAAGGGACTTGATGCCTTCAAAGACTGTTTCAGATATCAGGACTGTAATGTCAAGATAATCATATTTTACCTAATGTTCTTGGATTTGTGTATATACAGTATGTTTTGCATTTTCTCCCTCTCTTGTACTATGTTGACATACTGTATAGTGGAAGTTTTGGGCTAAAGCAACTTGTTTACTAAGTATTGGTTTCTCCCTCTGTTTTCCCTTCCTATTTAGTGCTAGTAGTTCAGTCCTAGCAAAACCCTCCCCATTTCGTCTATGTTCCCTCAGTCAGTATTCGTGCTTTATGGAGACAAGAGTTAGGAAAATTATTGTCTGCCTGCCTGTGGATTGTACCAAGTCAGTAGGTGACCATACTGACTGGATCTAATGGGGTATGTCAAAGCATAAAGCGGCATTTGAAACAGAACAGTGTAGGAAGTGAAACTTTCCTATGCACACTGCATTATTGTTTTCAAAGTTTGCTGAGCGCAATTGCTGAGGAGTATTTATTTTCTAAGCAGCTTTCATAAGTCAAAACAGATATCCACCTACACATATGATCAGTGATATACAATTTCACCATGTATTTAATAGCTGTGAATGTTTATCATGTGTATGTAAACTGAAAATGGTTCAATATGTTTTTGTTTTGTAAATGTTATGTGTTTTGTATCGTAAAAATATGCACATAAGCATCCTATGCATGTAAAAGAGAAAAATGAGGTGCCCCAATTGGAATTGGGTATGACAAAAAATACAGTTGGATGTATTAGAACATTGCTTGTGTGTACAGTTAGCAGACTAGCAGAGTGATAGGGGGCCGGTGGACCTCCACTTGTACAGAACTTGAAACACAAAGGTGTGCGAAAGATTAGGCAGGGGCATAGAAGAAAGCTGATGGGGGTTGTAGTTGGCAGCATTTAAAGATCTGCTTCCTGCCTATTACTAATCTATTACTTCATTATCATAATATAGGCAAAATAAAATTGTTATGGTTAACCTGTCATTTTTTTTTCTTCCATCAGTTCTGCTTTGACACCACAGAAGAGTTTGACTTGCTATTCCCTCTAATTGTGGCATGTAGAGGTGATTCTCTACAAAATGTAAAGACCTGCTTCATAGAAGCATTCAGCAAGTCAGTAATGTCAGTTCTGAGTAGACTGCAAGAATGGAACATACAGTTTCCAGACAAAGTTCCCATGAAGACTGTGCTTGTTTGCCTGTCCTCGGCTCTTCATGTACTGCATCATCTCACTCACTACAATGAGCAGCTAAGCAAGAAGTAAGTCCACCTTTTTTGCATTTGGAAATGTGCTTAGGTACAGTTGTGTTCCAGAGTTTGCATGCCCTGGCAGAAATCATGAAATTTTGGCAATTATATTGAAATTACGACTGATAATGCCCAAAAAACTGTCTTTTATTTAAGGATAGTGATCATCTTGGTACAGACACACAAGGTGACACACAGGTTAAAATGGCAATTAAAGGTTCATTTCCTGCATCTTTGGCTTTTTAAATTGCAATTAGTGTCTATGTATAAATAGTCAATGCGTTTGTTAGCTCTCACGTGGATTCACTGAGCAGGCTAGATACTGACCCATGGGGAGCAGAAAGAACTGTCAAAAGACCTGCGTAACAAGGGAATGGAACTTTATAAAGATGGAAAGTAATATAAAAAGATATCCAAAGCTTTGAATCTGCTAGTCAGTTCTGTTCAATCACTTATTAAGAAGTGGAAAATTCAGGGATCTCTTGTTACCATGCCAAGGTTAGGTAGAACAAGATAGATTGCAGCTACAACTTCCAGAAGAATTGTTCGGGATACAAAGAAAAATCCACAGGTAACCTCAGGAGAAATACAGGTTGCTCTGGAAAAAGAAGGTGTGGTTGTTTCAAGGAGCACAATACGATGATACTTGAACAAAAATGAGCTGCATGGTCAAGTTGCCAGAAAGCAGCCTGTGCCTCTGCCACAAAAAGTGATGTGTGTGTCAAACATAAATGATACATAAATGTGTAAGTCAGCCAGTGATGAATTTCTGGTCATTAATAATAATAATAATAATAATAATAATAATAATAATCAGCTGCATAAACCACAAGACTGTCCTACTCCATCATTTTGTTCTTTCAGTGGTGCAAGTTGATACATACAATTGCTCTTTTTACTCTCCCTGCTTATTGCTGTCAAGTGATTAATAATCAGAGTTTAGAGCAGGTTTAGATACGAAGTGTAGAGCAGGTCTAGATACCTACAATTAGTGACTAGACTCAACTTCTTTAGGGGCCTACATTGACAGACTTGGGTTTTGTGTGTATGGCATCAATTTGAGACCCTTTTTAAAATCATCGAAAAAACATTATTACATTTGGAGAACATGAGAATTTGGACTTTTTTGCTGCCACCTCAGTAAGACTCATATATAAGACTTTTTGATTGGTTAAAAATAGGTATACATCATCACCATCAACCATTATATAACCAATACATTAAACAACTATGGATAGCATTGACTGTCCACTCACCAAATTCATCATTTGGCTTTGCCTGAAGTTGAATTATGAGATATATATTGTAATAGTGTAATGTGAATAAATACTGATTGTTACTATATCTTTTCAGACTTTTCTTCCACATTCTCTGGAGAAGCAGTGCATATGTATTGTTTTTGCATTGAATTTGGCCCCTATCCCATCATGTAACCCAACTACTAGGGCTTGAAAATAAATACTGTTTCTATGATTTTTGTAATGTAGAACAGCTGATCAGGGAAATAGGGAAATTACTGTATATATGTGGCAGAAATATTGTTAATACTCAATGATGAATATGTGAACAACACAGTCAAGACAAGATATGGTATGTTTTCAAACAAAAAGTCTTACTGTATTTGTGAATCTTACTGAGATGATACCTGAGGAATGCCAATGCTTATATTCTCCAAATATAATATGTTCTCAATGGGGAAGTGGTGCAAGTTTAAGAGGATGGTTGGTACAAACATATTGACAGGTTATTTCGACCTCCAGCTTACCTCCTTTTGACGTGCATTTGACTTGCTTCAAGGTGGTTTCGAACTTGTTCCGGTAGGCAAACCACGTTTGGTGCAAAGCTTTTCAGGTAGATGAAACCATACATATGGATGTATGGTGCAGATATCGTGCTAGTAATAATTGTCTTCTGCATTGTTTATGAAAGTGTATATGTGTCCACCTATTCAGGATCCAGATAACCTCCCTAGTTCCTCATGTAAAGCTAAACATAAATATGAAATTAATATTGTCCAATTGCAGATGAATTAGCTGACATTCTCAAGTCGATGGTCAGTGCCAGACATCTCTGGCTGACCAATCAATCTCCTTTGAAACAGCAGTTTTAAAGATGTGTTGGCATTAGAAGTGTTTGGCAATGGCTCTCTCTTTGTTGTGTGATAGATGTACCAATTTGATATAATCCACTTTTGTCAAGAATTCTGAACCAATAACTATTCCCTTGATTAAATACAGACTGTAAATGTGAATCATTTTAGTTTACAAAGTATTTATTGAGCTAGTCAGTTTTTACATACCCAGGTACCTGTATAGCTAGGATATTGACACCAGTTCTCACTGCCTCCTCCTGTAAGATCCCTGCACATCCCATTCTGGTTGCAATTGTTTAAAGATTTGATAGATTAGCAGAAATAGCTAATTGTGCAGATCCTCCTCAGATTGATTACTTTAATGCATGTGTTTCTGAGAAGATAATATACATTTTAGCCAGTTATTCCAAGGTATTTTAAAATACAGAGAGGGGAATGCAATAAAGCATTTCAAATTTTTTTCTCATAGTATGATTGCTTTAAAATATCCCAAAAATCAAATGCATATAAGCCTTGAAACAATTACGCCATATCTTCAACAAATTAAAAAAAAAAAAAAATGACCCCGCCCCATGTGACATCATCGACCAGAGCATGCTGAGTCAATAAAGTCACATGGGGCGGGGTTACATACGTGATGGCCCCGTCCCTTATATATTTAAGAACTGTCAAGCCAGCAGAGAGGCAGATGGCCGAAAGCCAGCATCAGGAGTGGAGCCTTTTTTTTCCTTTTTTCGGGTGACGGCGGCGTGCATCGTGATTGACGCTGGATCTACTTCGAGGGACATTCTTTTATTTTCCTTCTTTTTTGTAAATGGGTAGCGGTACTATGTACCCCATACTCATGCACATGGGGGGCTGGATTCCGATAAGCCCCCCACCCGCAGACCCCCACAACCACAGCCCAGGGTTGTGGGGAAGAGGCGTGGGGCTTCCCATCAAAATCCATACCAGACCTGAAGGGCTTGGTATGGATGGATGGGGGACCCCATGCCATTTTTTAATTGCTGGCAATTCTTTCTTTTTCATTCAGCTGTCAGTGGGGAATCCCGCTGACAGCTGAAACATCAACGCATGCTTTTCACTACTAAAATACCGCACAACTTAATAAAATAGCAGTATTTTAGTAGCCTTTTTTTTGTGAATTTACTATTTTTCAGTGCATTCTGGGCATTTGGAAGGGTCTCCTGAGGTTATCGTTTAAAAATACTTCTGAACGCAAATGTGGCTAAATGCGGTAGGTAAACACGGCAGGTAAACGTGGCTAAACTGATGTTTCTAACTTACGTTTTCTAGCAGTCAGTTTCCAGCAGTCAGAAGAGTTTTTCAAATGCCCTGTGTACATGAGCCCTAAATAAGACCAAGTCAAGGTAGGAATATAGACAGGCCAGCGTTATTGGGGGGGGGGGGTGTAAAGTGTTGTTAACTCCATTATTATTATATTATCATTATACAGGATTTATATAGTGCCAACAGTTTGCTCAGCGCTTTACAATATAACGGGAGACAATACAGCAACAATACAGTTCAATACAAGAGGGAAAGGAGGGCCCTGCTCCTTGGAGCTTACAATCTAGGAGGGAGGGGCTAGTGGTACAAAAGGTAGTAACTCTCGGGGATGGACTGGTTGGAAGAGTAGAAGATTCCATTATTAGCTGAGGGCAGGATAGGCTTCCCTGAAGAGATAGGTTTCCAGAGATCGCCTAAAAGTGAGCAGAGTAGGCGATAGTCTGATACATTGGGGTAGAGAGTTCCAGAGGATAGGGGAAGCTCTGGAAAAGTCCTGGAGACGAGCATGGGATGAGGAGACAAGGGAGCTAGAGAGCAGGAGGTCTTGCGAGGAGTGGACGGTTTGGGTGATATTTAGAGACAAGATCGTTGATGTAATTTGGGGCAGAGTTATAAATGGCTTTATACGTTATTGTTAATGTTTTGAATTTTATCCGTTGGGCAATGGAAAGCCAGTGGAGGGATTGGCAGAGAGGGGTGGTAGATAAAGAACGGTTAGTAAGGTGGATAAGTCTGGCAGCAGCATTCATGATAGACTGAAGAGGGGGTAGCCTGTGATGAGGTAGGCCAATGAGGAGGGAGTTGCAATAGTAAAGTCGAGATATAACAAGGGAGTGAATAAGTTGCTTAGTGGTTTCCGAGGTTAGGAACGGGCGTATCTTGGAGATGTTGCGGAGGTGAAGTCTACAAGATTTTGACAGTGATTGGATTTGGGGGTGAAAGGACAGATGGGAGTCTAGGAGTACACCTAGTACCCTGGCATGAGGGGAGGGAATGATGATTGTGTTATTGATCTTAATGGAGAAGTCAGGGGAGGGGGCACGGGCTTGGGGGAATACTAAGAGCTCAGTTTTGGAAAGATTGAGTTTGAGGAAGTGGAGTGACATCCATGCCGATATGCCGCTTAGTAGGTTAGTAATGCGAGAGGAGACTGAAGGGGTGAGATGAGGGGTAGAAAGATAGATTTGTGTGTCATCAGCATAGTGATGGTACTTAAAGCCATGGGAGTTTATCAAGTGACCAAGGGAGGAGGTGTAGATGGAGAAGAGAAGGGGTCCAAGGACAGAACCTTGAGGCACCCCTACAGAAAGAGGGAGTGAAGAGGAGGAGGCAGTGTTATAGGTAATGCTGAAGGAGCACTGCAATAGGTAGGAGGAGAACCAAGAGAGAGCAGAGTCTCTGAGACCAAGAGAGTGGAGTTTTTTGAGAAGGAGGGGATGGTCAACCGTATCAAAAGCTGCAGAGAGGTCAAGTAGTAAGATTACGGAGTAGTGGCCATTGGTTTTAGCAGTTAGTGGATCATTAGTGAGTTTTAGTAGGGCAGTTTCAGTGGAGTGTAGTGAGCAAAAGCCAGACTGTAAAGGGTCAAGAAGGTTGTTGTTGGTGAGGTGGGAGCTCAGGCGATTGTAGA